TATATAATATGCATATTTTCATATACACACATGAATATATACAAAAACATAGAACTATACTGGTGACCCCATTGGGAAAAGGCTGAAGCATGCCTACTGTTAATTATCAAGAGAACTCGCAGGAAAAGAGGCTACAAATAACACAAAAGTAGGGAATATCCAGTTTATACCTTACTAGGCCCCAAGGAATCTGACCAGGACAGAGGAGTTCATTGGAGAACTGACTTTATCTGCTCCATCATCCACAGAACAACTTGTCTGTATTATGGAGAAATTCTTAAGAGACACAATCCCTTACTAATAATATGGGGGACTGTTTTCCCACTGGAGCTGTGCTTCTCGCATTCTTTCTCATTTGAAAAGTATTTATGTATTTTAAACTGTTTACTGCAGTAGCTGAACAGAACAGGGTGAAGCAGCAAATGTAATGAACCAGCCATCCACAGACTGTAGCTTCAGGGAATACTAGGAACATACCTATCTTTGATGTATACACATAAACTAGACACTTCTAAAAAAATAAACATTAATATAAAATTACAAGAAAAAAAAAAGATCGAGCAAACAGAACAATATCCACTTCATATTCTCATTAAATAATCCCCTGTTTCTTCCATCTCGTCCATTGTTTTATGCCTCGCGGTTTGGACTCCTGGGGGCAGTTTGTATGAAGTGGTGTCTCAGACATTCCTCAGCACCATGTTCTAAGAACATTCTTGCCTAAGTGCTCTCTTTCTTCTCCACATTTCTAGCACTATTCAGGAAGCATTAAAGAACATGCCCTGCCTTGTTTTTCAAAGCGAGCTACTGAACATAACACTCTCCCCACTACCCCCAGCACCTTTTACAGCTGTCATGAAGGCCTCAGAAGACAACTTCTGGTTGTAACAAAGCCCTCCCTTAAGACCTTGAACAGGGAGGCACTGCTCAGTTTTTCTTGCCACTACTACTCCACCCAGTCCCTTCTCTCCACAAAATGCTTTCATTCTACTTTTATCTGTTTTGCTCAAACTGATGTAGAGTTGGGGAGGAAGAGTAAATGAAAGTAAAGGAAGAAACCCAGCTAGTTTTCCGAGTTTCAAATTCTCTGAGATAATCTCCTTATTCCTCCTCAACTCCACACATTTATCAGCTAAACATACGCTATGCTTGCAGGGCAATGGTTTCTAGCTCCTTTGTGGTTTTGCACGTACAAAAATCCAGACTTCCAGTTTTGCAGCAGGATCTAGATGCTCCCAATGTCACAGCTCACATAAAACACAGAATAAATTGAAGAGGCAACCCAACCTCCTTTGCAAGGCACTACTGTACTTTCCAGGTTTCTGCTTTGTGAAAAGACGTTAAGACTTAAGAGAGAGACAGGTTAACAGCTCAGGTGGGTGCCCTTTCAGAACGCAGGGACTGATACAGTCAGATGGATGCTGGAGCTATAGAACGATCTTGTGCAGAAACAGAAAAGCAGCAGCTAAAGCCTAGATAGCTTCAACAGGCATTAAAGGAATTTGAGAGCGTATGTGAACTACAGAAGTAATGAATTCCATCTATCAGTCATGGCAGGTGAAAATGATCCTGCACAGAACAATGAACATAAAGCCTATGCATCATAGAACTCTTGCTCCATACTGATGGAAACAAACAGTAGCCACTTGAAGAAATCAATAAAATAAAACAAAATATTGATGAGGTTTCAGAGGGATCTCCAGACTGGAAACTGCAAACATCAACAGGATGTACAATTTTCAAATTTAGATACTAAAAGCTTCCCCACATGAGGAAAAAGAACACACATGCAATGCTAGTCAATGCAAATTCTATGACCATTTCTGCAAGACAAATTTTTATGACTGTCTACAGGTGGAGAGGAGGGAATGACAGTAAAACCAAATTCATTCGTTTGGAGCGTGAAACTCAAAGGATGTAAGTATGCTCAAGAAAACGCTCTCACTTAAGGCTTCAACCAAAGCCCACTGAACTCAGTCAATGTCAGTTTTTCCTTCTACTTCTAATAAATTCCAGATTATACCTTTTAATACCGAGAGCTGCAGGCTATGAAGAAGCAAGGATGACACACTGGCTGGGAGTAACTGGGTTATTCTCATACTCGCTATGTGCCATAGATTAGGCAGTTTGAAAGAAGAGAGAGATGGAGAAGAGGGAATTTACTGAGAAAGAAACCTGACTTAATGAACACTCTCCTATTTCTTCAGGAATGGAGGAAGGTCCAATCCCTCTCTCTTTCACGGTAAGCTTCTGCATTCTCTTCCTCTATTTCTGCTCTCCACAGTCTACTCTGCAGGCCATGGTTCCCTGTTTCACCTACCTGACAGAAATTTCAACCATTCAAGAACCAAAATGAAAAATCACTCAAGAATCTAAGAGAGTTCTGTCCTTTTCTTTAGCCACTTGAATTAAGTGCTTATTACTATGCAAATAAAGCTGCAGCAAACTAAGAAGTGATTTAAAATCCCAGTCCATATTATTCTTCACTCAGTACTCATATTTATAAACCCCAATACTCATGTATGAAATCTGACATTTTCCTCAAGAAAATGGCATATTTTCCCTTAAGAATAATTCTAACTATAATATCTTCAAAACAGACTTTTATAGGGCTTTTAAAAACAAAGACCAAAATGAGACACACACAGGAAAAAATCTATACGTCTTCCAAATACACAAAATAGAGGAAAAATAAATGCAGGAATTGAATGCATCGAGTTTTGTGAAGAGATCCATCTCCCCAAAAATCTTTTTCAAGCTTTTCTATAAGGAATTAGAAGATAAAAAATGTATTTTAAATGAAAATAAAGCAATGACATACTTTTCAAACAAATGTCTTCCAACTTCAGCATCTACTGCACTTAATGGATCATCCAAAAGATAGATGTCTGCATCTTGATACACAGCCCTAAAAGGTTTAAAGAAAAGTCAGTATCGCAATGTCTTACATTTGTTTACTTTAGTGACTAAAATAGGATAATTTGTAAATTTTAGAAACAGCAAAAAACACTAGCCTGGCCAGATTTACACGGGCCTTCTGTCCCCCACTCAGCGTAGCTCCACGATCTCCTATTACTGTTAGATCACCATTTGCTAATAATTCCAAGTCCTGTGAGTGTGAAAAAACAGATAGCAAGGGTTTGTTTGTTTGTTTTTTAGTAATTCTAACTTCAAAGACTGACAAAGCTGCTTCAACGTAACAGTTTCTTATTTGACAAGTATTAACTTATCTCTACATTAAAATACAAGAATTCATACTAAATGAAATATCTGCAAATATGACTTGGTATCTTCAGCAAAAGATAATTAAGAAAGCAGGAAAAATAGGTGAGCTCTTAAAGTTCACTTTTTCTACAGCTTTGCCAGAAGGAAGTGCACCACCATTCTTAGTGTTACAAGGAATATTTGCTGGCAGTTCAGAAAATCAAACTAAAAATTATGAAGTATAACAGTAAATTAATTATTTTTTACTAGAACAAAATGAACTGTTACAATAAATTAATCTGAAATAACTATTATCAGTAAATTATCTTCCATTTCCCAATGTCCCTAAGAACTGCATTACTTTTACTCTTACTGCAATATATCCAAGAGAAATAACCACAACATTCATCACACAAACTTGGTTAATTTATGGGGCTTAGGACTATGAGTAAGACAACAAAATTATACAGTGTTCCACTTACAGTATTATTGTATTTCCTATTCAAGAAATACAGAAATTTTATATTAAGCTATAAAACATACTCTGAAAGTATATTCACAGCTTTTATAAGATATATAAATTTGAAAGAAAACGATGAAAACAAATCTACCATCAAATATGAAGGGTTTGTTTTTTTAAATGCAGTTTGCTGTCTTCTAAAGTCACTAAAACCTTAAGTTTAGACAACAGCATATGACTGAGTATCAGCAGGCGATATTAAAACTCTATCTACCATGTGTAAAAACCTTGCAAAAAAATTTTAATCACAGTAACCATCTGCTTTTCACCTGTGTCGCTGCTGACAGGAATATCGTAACATGCTGCATAAAACCTTTTTAGCTGCCAACCAAAAAGTCTGTTTCTTGACAAATCTGGCTTAATCCTCTCTATATCTCATGTCACAAACTCTTTTGCGCACAGACCTTTCAAAAATATTTTTTCATAACACTACTGGGGCTCAGAAAATTCTCCAGTACATAGCACTAAGGTTCTTTTGATAGCCATTAGCAATGCATAATACATGATATACATGACATTTATTTTTAAAAACATATATAGAATATTTACAGAATGGAACTCACAGTCCTAGCCTGATCATTTGTCTTCCACCTTTTATTGCATATACACACACCCCTGTACCATAATACCAGTGAAAACAGCTAAACATGATTACGAAATTAAATAATTGGGAATAGCTTTTTCCAAATTTGTCTGTGCTTCACATGAGCTACACCCCCCTCTAGTGAAAGTTTTGGGAATTACAAAAATGTGCTTACATGCAGATATTAAAAATAATTACACATATTTCTGTTAAACGATAGGATTTATTTCACATGCTACTACTAATAATAAATTCTATATATTATATATTGCAGCATGCACCACAAGTCTGAAAGAACACTAAGGTAAGAATAAAAATCATGAAAATAAAACACAAAGAAAAAAAACATACCTTTTTAAGAGCACAGACTTTCAGAACTTTTTCATATTTTTCTTTCTCGTATTCCTTGTCAAACAGTATATTACTTCTTACTGTACCAGAAAACACCCAAGGCTGCTGAGAAACATAGGCAATTCTTCCAGTAACGTTTATCAAACCTTTGTCTTTAGGCAGCTCACCAAGCACAGCACTTAAGAGCGAAGACTGGAAAAGATTAAAAAAAAGAAAATGTGAAAAGTTTGACAGCATTAAAGATATCACTGAGATTGAGCCGTGTTTACTGGCACGATGGCCTACTTCACCCTGTCACCCAAACTACTGCTAACAGTAGAAGAGCACTAGGAACCTTTACATGCAGCCTAGAAGCGAGGTACAAAGTACTGTTTAACACTGATCCATCTCCCCCCCCACCCCCAGAAGGACATCTGCCTTTTTTGAGTGCCCGTACCTTGGTGTGCAGTGTGTTGTTACACATGGAAAGGAACTGTGCATTTTTAAGTTTCTAGTCACATTTAACAGACTCATAAAAACCCCGCAGAATGGAGTGAACGTTGACTTACTTTTCCAGCTCCTACAGGACCAATCACAGCCAGTAATTCCCCTCGTCTGACAGTAAACGAAAGCTGTTGAAGTGCTGGGCTTTCTAAACTCTATGGATTTGAGAAAAAGTTAGGCTTCCTCAGTAATGAAACATGCACCATCAAAAGAATTATTTAGAAACAGAAAACAACGCACATAAATCACTATAAATTAGCAACCCATACGCCCACCGTATTTTCAGGCATACAGTTTGCCTCTTCAGTAATTCACAAATGCTTTTGAAAGACCCTGATCCTTCACCACAAACAAGTAACACAGATAAAACAGTGTTCAAGGATCAAAGCCCAGGCATCCTTGCTGCCGCTCCGCACGCGGTCGGGTTGGCAGCCTCGGCAACAGGAGCTCTCTGCTGGCCATCGCAGTGGCATTCACGGCCTCAGCGCGGCACGGCCGGCGACTCCGAGTAGCCAGACAAATGCTGTTAAAAAGGAGAGTTGAAGCTCTCTTGGAGCCCCAGGAAAGCCAGGCCTGTGTTTGCTCTATCCAAAGTGAAAGCCGAAAAGTGCTGTTTGATTTTAACACAACTTCATCTTGTGTGTCATGGATTCTCAGAGGCTTTTAATGGACAACATAGTGGGCTATTTGTGTGAATATATACTACCCGAGGATTGTTTGTGTAATATTCCGTTTTCGTATGCCTATCCTTTATGTTACACTACTGATAAGAGCTTATTTCACTACATATTTTGCACCTCTCCTATCAAGGTTGTAAAAATGCCTATTTCTTGTGAAAAGAAAGGATGCTCATGTCTTTAATAGCTATGCTAAACCGCAATTCCTAAGGGCCTGGTGCAGCTCCCTCATTAAAGCAAAACACCCTTGTAACAGGATCTGCCTTTACATGCATCTTAGACCACACTAAGCATGACTGACACTAAACTGCAAACAGGAAAACATATGCATTAAAAAAAAAAAAGTATTTCTATTAAAGGGCCAAATGAAAACCCAGCCTTAAGCTTCAAGGAAGAAGAGCAAGGTGAAGAATATCTAGGGTACCTCTTACCGGCTTCAGACTGCTTAAAATTTCCAGCCACCCATTGAAGCTCAAGAGGCTGAAGAGGCCACCACCTAACCCCAACCAAAAGATGCCGCATGACCAAGCTCTGGGACCGCGAAAAAGGGAAGCTTGCAACTTGTTTCAAATTATTTACAAGACACAGCGATCCAGTATATCCATCCACACCTATGACAGCCGGGAGAGCTGGGCTCGCACGCATGTGTCCACTCATCCAATACTTGGTCAGGCAGCACCATACCCAGAGCACGAAGTTGCACATCCCCCATGACAGCTCCCACCTCACAGAAGCACCGCAGGGTCCGCAAGAAATCAGAGTCACGCTGTGAGAACCCAAGCTTGTGCACGTTGTGCGACACTGCAAAACTGCTTTTGTTGCTATGATTAATTTCCACAAGGTGGCATCAACGGGGCTTTTTTCCTTTCCACACACCACCACCCCCCCCAATCAGCATTTTACCATGATTTTGATCTCTCGGTCCAGAGTACATGGTTCAGGTGCTGAGCTCATGCTAAGGTCAGAAGAACTCTACCAACTTATGGCAGGTAAGGCTTTTTTTTTTAATGCCAAGTTTGCAAGAAGAGAAAAATATCTCTTACTAAATCAATTAGCCTGTATTGAAAAAGTAAATAAGCTTTCAGACACACAAGCCCTTCTTCAGACTTCTTGAGGTTGTGCTTCTGTATTCACAGAAGTGCAAAGATATTTTCTCCCACACTCAGGTTTTTTAAGAAAAATAAGAGCCTAAAAACATTACAGAAAATTAAAAAAAGTTTTTAAACTCTTACCCAACTATTATATATTAAAGCAGTATTGTAAGATAGCACAGACCCTATAGAAAAGTAGTTATGCAAGCAAACAGCATGGCCACAAACACCTAAGGTGCATGGTATTTTTGCAAAATAGCCATTCCATATAATTAAAGCCAATTTGTCCCAAATTCATCACATTTATTTTTAGGCACTAAACTGAGAGCACAGAATAATATTACAGCTAAGTTCATCTGACAGCTCATTACCACAAGTGTCCCAGCTCGCCTGTGCCCTGTCAACTATCCGCGTCTTTCACTTCCCTTCTGCTGCCACTTGCTCTTGCCTAACCTTGCAGACGGGTTGTTCATGGGACTTAGCTATCAGAAAACAAATCACGTTAAAAGTGATTCACTTTCTATTGCTTTATGCCTCTGAACTGGTTCACCACAGGGCCGTACATACAAGCATTAACACCAGCACAAGGGAGGGAACAGAGACACAAGGACAGAAGGACACAAGAATGATCCTTTCAGGGGCAGCAATTCCTTAGGGGAGCTCGGGCAGACCTTACACGTCCTACAGGCAAGAGAAAGAAGGAATTCAGCCCATCCAAGGGATACAGAGATCATATATTGCACAGGAGTACTATACTACTTAGGCTCCTCATTTAAGTGACTAAAATTACAAGGGATAAATTTGGCCTCTGTTCAAATGCTTGAATTTTATATCTAAAGTTGCTCAGTTGAGCCGACAGACTGTTCTGTAAACTCAAGGCACATCAGTAAAACCCTGTACTGAAGAATCCCTAGTTCCATGCTGGTATCAGACTAGCCTGTGGGACTCAAGATAATACTTGCATTAGTAAAACAAGAGTGTGACCATTAATTAATTGGTTTTGGTTATCTTTTGATAAACTGCAATACACCATGTTAGGTTGTTTTCCTAAATAATCCCTTTTTTACTTCCAGTCATTTTGGATTTTGTGGGTTGTTGGTTTTTTTAGTATCTCCTTCGGCTCACAATCTTTAAAAACAATAAAATAATCATCCAGCTGTACAGTGTCTGTACAGAGATCCAGAGAGTCTTGAGAAACCTAGTCAAAGTGGCAAGATAAGTTGGTTACTTGACAAGGGATAGCATATTTTTTATTATTCCTTTTATAAATCCTTTCTCTTAGAACTCATCATTTTTTCAGTGAGCAACTCCATAAAATTATTTTGCATCATCATGTGAGTATATAAGAGAAACTTTCTGAGCAGCTCTTAATAGTACTGAGAGAACTATTCTTCTCCCATGCACACTGCAATTAAATACCAAAATGAAAATCACATGAACAGTTTTGTGGGTGGTTTGGTTTTTGGTGGGGGCTTTTGGGGGGGGAGGGTGTTTTTGGTTTGTGTTTTTGTTTTTTTTTTTTTAATCAAAAGGAAACCAGTAATTCCAGTCATGCTGCCCTGCTTTATGCAGTATAAACAACTAATGAAAAAAAAAAAAAAAAGGTGTTTTATGGGCGTATTACGCAACCATTTCCTATAAATTCTTAACAGTAGTACCAATAAAAAAGGTGTTTTATGGGCGTATTACGCAACCGTTTCCTATAAATTCTTAACAGTGGTACCAATGGTAGCTTGGGAAGAAAACAAAGACTAAGAAATACGTTCTATTTTGCATTAGAATGTATTCACTAATAAGTTTTTCATATCGATCAATTTTTTAAAATTTGTTCAATCTCTCAGAAAGATTTATGTCACAGAGACAACTCTGAGAAAGTAAAGCACAATAATATGGCAATTTTCTTTTGTAGCCGAGCAGGAGGAGGAGGTGGTAGATCCTCACATATGTTTTCAGACTTTATCTTCTTTGGGACAGAGCACATGTAGGGGAAAAGGGTATGTAAAGGGAGATACATGACGTCTTATTTGCATTACATTTATATGCAAAATTAATTTCTAGAGATTCCAGCATTTCTTATGGTGATTGAAGCTTCCCTTGTGCAAGGATACTGGCAGCTCATAATAGCTCCAACAATTAACCACAAATTGCTGCTTACCATAGGAATTGCAGTCTTAGAAGAGAAACAACAGTCAATCTTTGCTTTTCTTACAGAAAGGGATATAAAAGAGATTTATCACCTGTGTATTGTCCCTTCTTCTAGTCATTTTGGTGGTTTTAGTACATTTTAATCAGAGAACAATTTGTAGCTGAACAGTCTCAATTAAAACACACAGAGTAACAAATACATGCAGACTAGTCTCTAAAGCTTTCAAATCTGTTAATAAGAAGTATAATATTGTACTGGTTCTAAACTAATGGACTGATCAGCATTCAGTTCACAGAAAAAAACCCACGTGGTAAAGACCACCTCACTCTGCTGTCTGTCCTTAATTACAATTTAAGTATCTCAGCTACAATAGAGTGTTGTTTAATAACAAGAGATATTTTCACATAGAAATGCACAGATTTTCATTTAGTATAATATTCAGGAACCCTATAGAAAACCAGCTACTTTTAAGATGCACTTGATAGTGTTTTCAGTACTATTCTACAGAGTTAGCTTAGCATACTAAAAGGATTCTCATATGCAAAAGACAGAATACAAACCAACAGCACACTAGACATAGAAATACTGCTTTCTAGACTTAAAATGCCTGCAGCACCAATATACTTTACATTTAGTAGAAGTAAACTTACCTTATCCCAATAGCAAGTCAAATCCTGAACATGAAGAATGACATTCTCATTATTACCATGCAGTTGTGGCTTGAAGTGTGAGACCTCATCAAGTATCAGAAAGTTCTGCAATAAAAGAAAAGAAAAGCACAGGATATTGCCTAATGTGAGACTGAGAATGGTAAAAGGAACCCAAGCACATGTTTTTGGAAACAACATACAGAACATTAATTATGGGGGCAGGGGGAAACACAAACTGGTCAAGGAATTGCTGCAAATGTGCAACTCCTTCAACAGTGTACCTCTAACTAGCTAACTGTGCCCCCCCTCAAAAAACAAAAGTTTAGATTTAATAGCATAAAAATACTACAGGACTCTAACCACCACCTGCTCAATAAAACAGAATTCCTGAAGCAAATGGACCTTAAGAACCTATCTTGTCTTTTCCTTGAAACAGTGACAAATCTTACAATTGTTTGACTCCTCCTCACGCAGAAGAGGTGAAACCCTCACTGCACACCCTTATCATTCCACTGCTTTGATGGTAAAGGCTTATGTTTCACGTGGAAGAACAATGAGGACACAGTAAGAAGCTGTCCACTGTCCCTGTTAAGCATTCTTCAAGTGACAAAAAGGCTGCAGAACACTACCTGAACCTCTCCTCCTTTGGAAGTCCAGGGCATTAACAAAAAAAAATGCTTGCGTCTGCGTACATGGTTCATTGCACTTTCACTACTGTACTTCTACATTATACGCCAGTCAGAGAAATTTTCCTTCAAGTTGCATAAATGGGCACTTTTGTACCACAGCCACACTTCTAGCACACCTTGGCTGATGCTAGATGATAAATAGCTCAAATATATTTAGAAGGGAAAGGGGCAGATTCTAGAGAAAACTTTCAAGGATAACAGTTACCACAATTTTAAGACAAAAACCAGAAAAATTTTACCATGCTTTGAATCACAGAGCACAGAAACCTTAAATAGGCTCTAGCAGACTATATTTTGAGAAAAGAAGGAAGGTCTTGATCTTCGAAGCCAAGACTAGTTAACAACTCCTGAGTTAACAGTTTGCAGATGTGAGACAGCTGCTGAAGACTTACAGAAGTCAGTAACCAAGAGGGAGCAGGAGGAGGGTGCCCTGAGCCCATGGGAGGGCAGGAAGAGCACTGCTAGATGTTAACAGGCACAGGGGTACTGCTCAAACTCCAGCTGGCAGGTATCGTTTCAAAGAGCGGCGAGAAATCAACCGGTGAGAATGCAGCAGTCTGCAAACTCATACATGTATCTCCACCAACTCCACCACAGGCAAAGGTGCACAGCCACACATTCCTGAGCTCTCCGGCCAGGTGACTATTGCTGAGCGCTGTTTCAGACAGGCAGGCCCAAACGGGTACGTGGGTAAAAGAGAACTCAGGATAAGAGAGTGGTAGGCAGGGAAAGAAACACCAGACCCAGCTTAAATCAGTACTGGAGTGTGTGGCTTGAGAAAAGGCGTCAGAAGTGTGATTTGGATTTAGATGCTGGCTGAAATATCACGGCAGTTTTACGCAAGGAATTGTTCTCTCGTCGTTTCTGCGTTTACCAGGAATTTCTCTTCTAGCAGTAGCATTCATCCCAGGTATAAATTCTAGCTAGCCATTTAACTAAGAAAGTATTATAGTATCACATATGGAAGATTTCAAATAAAACTAGTACAAACAAAGTTATATGGTTAACACCATGAATTTTAAACAGTGGGTGAAAAAAAAAAATCAACACTAGAAACAAAACCTTCAAATGCAATGAATAACTTAAGCCTTAAAGACTCTTTAAAATATCTTAAAACATTCTTCCATTCTTTTTGTACCTAATAATCTTCCACACAGAGAAAAATAAAGTTACTACGACCCACAGGATGCTGAGAAGCAAACATTAGCTTGAGATATGACTGCGTTCTTGAAAGAGAAATCTCTGTCTTTTGTACTCAGCTGAAACTTATCCTCTTTTCTGCACGTCTGCCAAAACAACCCTCTGAAAAACAACTGCTCTCACTTTGTTTCACGAGAGGACCTTGAGTCTACGGCTCCATCACATAAGAGTGACTAAGCTTCAAGAAGAGATGCAGACCAGCTTTCAGATGTGTAGCTATGGTGAGGGGAAAAGAGAGATTAGGTGAAAAACACAATGAGGAGACCACTATTCTTTTTGCCCCACAGTTCTTATGTATGTGTAAATGAATATGGAGGAAAGGCTACTACTTCCCATCTGACTATCGTTCCTTATTGTCACCTGAAGCATAGCATCTCCTGCTTCCTTCTCTCCATCTGAGCGTACTTTAAGATCAGTGCAAAAACCTCATTTATTCCACAACAACTAAGAGAAAGCACCTTCTCAAAAAAGTACATTTTCAGTTTTGCCCAAACATACCTAGCCATCATCTTAATAATTTTTTCTGTATTTTCTACTCTCTTCTCCTAATTTCCTTCCACTTATTTACATTTCAGTACACATCTTTGGTCAGGCAGCATCTTGTCACTCAGTAGCAAAATGTCCAGCCCAGAAACAGTTTGGGAAATGGAAGTTAAAAAGTTGGTGAGAGCATCAAGGATGCTACAGATTCATTAGGGCAATTCTTTGCCCAATGAACCTCAACTCTGGAGCTGGTTTCCAAAAAGCATCCTTAAGGAATCGTAAGTGCAAGGGAGTTGGAGCCAGCTGTCAGAAGCAAATTCACGTGACCGCTAGGATATGCTGGAAACAGAGACAAGAGAAAAAAAAGGAACAGATCATCACTGTCTCTGCTCAAGTGCCATTCTCCTGTTCCTAAGGCATCTTTTTCAGCCATCCATGTCTCAAGCAGCACAGCTTGAAAGATCCCTTGAAAGAGTACTGCCCTGCAGCTGAACACAGGGTATATGAGAGTGCAGAAAAGACAGTGTGCAACATCCAGTATCCCAAGCCCTTCTCTCCCCTCCTACAGTTTAATTTAAGCAGTAGTTAATGTTAATGCCTACAACATTGCTGTGGTCATGATTTTCACATGTTAACCTTTTCTAACTCCATTTGCATCAAGTTTTACAAAATGCTTTTTTGAAGTGCAAAAATTACCTGTTTAACACATAGGTTTCTTGGTTTTTTTGTGTGGGCTTAGTAGAGATAGAAAATTAATCAATAAAAAAATTATTTACTATATTCAAGAACATGGAAAAGAAAATAAGAGATTTTTAGCTACTTTAATCAATGAATGGCATAGTGACACTATGCAAAGCCATATGATTACATCCGAAGTGCTTGTTTTCTCCATTCTAGAACAGATTAGCCTGGGTTTTTTTCAAAATTAAGTTCTAAAATGGCTGGCATGCTTTAATTCTGTATTTTGATAACCTGACAATTTGGGATTTTTAAAGTTTTAAATTCAAAATGCATTTTGCATTTAAGTCTTTCACTCTTGCAGTTTATTCTAAAGTACTGGTACGTGCAGCAAACATGACTGTGTTTAGTGTGTGTGTTGTGAATAAAATAAAGTCCATCTGCCAAAACCAGCATCATTACTGCTCTTCATCCTTACCGAATCCAAGTCTTCAGTCCAGTGTTGAAAGCAGCCACAAGACACCAGCTAGGGCTCACACCTGTCCTCCACAGCCGACAGGGTAGCATAGCGCACATGGAATATCAATACGATCCTACAGCTCCCATCTGCCTGCTTTGTCCGCCAAAACTCCCAATCCCAACATATCTGCATATCTGTACACATGTTCCTCTTTAAAAATGTCCACACCACCTCTTCGCACGTACACTTTTCTCCTACATTTCAGCCTGCCCTGCAGTGCACATCGTGTTTTTGCATATGCATACACAGCAACAGGTTCAGTTTTCAAAAGAGGTTATTTCATTAAAAATCCCAAACTGCACGATAAAATAAGGCTGCTTTTGTCAGTGACATTAAAACAATGTTAGAATAAGAGAAAAAATTCACATACCATTCAAATTAATTACCATACCTTGATTCGTCGTATGCTAACTACTGCCTCGGACACTCTCTCAACAGCCGCAGGGAAGAACAGAGTCACTGTCAGTCTTACTGCACCATACAGGGACACCGCAACAAACACCCGACTTGCAGAGATAACATTGCCAAGTAGTACATACGCCATGAAAGTCATGAACACTGTTATTTTGCTTGCCACAAAGAAAGAGGCTAAGTTCAGTCCTCGAAGGTAGGAGCTTTTCATAACCATGGCAATCTCCTTCCTAAAAATGCAAAATATAAATAATCACATCAATCTCTCTCATTAGAGTTGCCCTCAACAATAGGATGGCAAAAACCCACTCTCAGGATTTTACTTTTATATCATTTCTCCTCCCCTTGCACCACCCCAACTCATGCACAAAGAACTTTAAAGAAAGTATGTTATACAGTAAATAATAAAAGAGAATTTAAAAGGCTTAGAAATTGAGTGGGGAAAATTATTATATTTAATATCTTAGTAGCCATAGAAAATAATTATTTTTCAGAGACAGAAAACCAAAATACAGTTTTTTCCTGCTTTGGTCAAACTTGTATTTTAATTCAGATTCTAATCTGCTTTAAATCTTTCTGGTTGCATACAACAGCAAAGAGGAAAAATCTCTGTATAAAGGCCAAGCATCCCCAAACTCCTTATCCTTCCAATATCAAATCCAGTAGAGTTGAGTCACAAAACTCCTGATAAGATCAACACATACTCTGCTGTTGAAAAATAGGGCAACTTCCAAAAGACCAAGAGATCACCCATGGTCCAAGTATCTGCCATCATTTAGCTGCTGCTCCTCAAGCTGGATCACAGGATTTGCAGTATTTCCTTTGATCTCAGTCTAAATCCTTCCCAGTTTGGACCCTGCTCCTGGCTTATTTTGCTCTAAGAATTATGGTTCATAATTCAGAAAATAGTGATCTGTGAGGCCAATTGTTCTGCCAGCCATTACCCGAGCTAAATAATGATTGAACTACTGCACAGACACATAAGTCTCCCTCGAGCAACTGAAAAGCTGCTGATGTGTATGTTCTCAATTTCCACTTCAGTTGAATTTCAGTTTCCACTTCTAAATGACTCATCAAGTCCAATCCTCAAAACGTTACTGCATTATCTACAATGTGGATGCCATCAGGCTGAAGTTCTTATTAAAATAATAGTTTTTCTTTATCAAGAGAGCCATAACAACTTACTCCTTCCCCATATATTTTCATATTATCTGCTTGAAATAATATGGAATATAAAATCCTGAAACAATTAATAATTTCTCTTCCCAAATATTCTGGCAATTCTTAGGGAAAATCTTCATCATTCTGATTACCCTTCCCTTACAACGATATACTAAGATTAGAAACTCAAGTTATGATTATATAATTTGAAGTAAATTAAGTCCTCAACGGAGAGAAGGATACAGGATGCGCTACTGGAAAACTAGTTAAGCAACTTTCCCACTATACTTGCCAAATTGGCTGAATTGACCGACCTTCAAAGAGTTTCAAAGACTTATTTTTTCAGCTTAAGGGCTCACAATCTCTGATCTCCTCCAGAATACAGTGAAAGAACATTTGTATGTAAACTATTTGAATTGGGTCTAATTCAATTACTTCTACAATCCTGGATGAAACTCTTTTCCCACCCTCTAATAATCCTTAATAATCCTCTCACTATCTGTGGATAATCAGCAAGTTCTTTGTGCTACTCCCCATAAATATCAGATAAATTACAGCCTACCTGCAGGCTGTATATAATATACTACGCTGTCTTAAGGCACAGAGTTATATAAAAGGAAACTAATACAGCCAGCCACAGGAAAAAAGAGCAGTAGAGGAGTTCAGATGTTGTCTTAGCAACTGCCAAGGGCCACTGTGGAAATACTGGGCAATAAATCACCTGGCTGAATTTAAGACTTTTAACTACAGTTTTCCACAGTGCAGTTAAAGAAAAGAAAGAGGGGTCAAGATGTGCTTTGGTAAGAGCTTATGATTTTTATTTACTTCTCTCCATCATTAAAGGAAGCCTCTAATCCTAATGCAGTGTTGAACTTAGAAATCTAAAGTTTCATAATGTGAATACGCTCACTGAGGAAGCTTTCAATGAAGAAATATCCTCTCTGGTTCCATGCAAGAGAGCAAAGCTTTCAATCAATCAAAACATTCAATCAACGCAGGATCCTATAAATCTGAATGAGGAAAGGATTATGTGCATGGGAAGAAACATCTCAGGGAACATTAGCAAGTTTGCAAGCCCACACATGGATGTAAAGGAAAAAAAAAAATTCCTTTGAAAAAAGGAATTCCAAATAAAACAGATTTTTTAAAAAATTAAAAATCAAGAGAATCTACAGCACGATAACAACCTCCTACTCATATGCTGGAGAGGGACACAGCATGAAAATTAAATTATACAAAATATGCACCTGAACTCCTACAGTTATCCTTTAGTACCAAATGCTCTGTCAAGTGTAAAAGCACAAATATTGACTGAAAATCAAATTTATGAATAAGTTTTAATCAGATGCTGATGGACCTCTGAAATGAAATGTCTCAGGATACCAAACTCATCTGGCCTTGCCAGTTGAACAACTAGGGAATTTAGAATCATGGAATAGTTTGGGTTGGAAGGGACTTTTAAAGGTCATCTAGCCCAACTCCTGTCGTGAGCTATCTTTCTCCCCTTTCCCAGATATCTTGAGCAATACTTCAAAACACAGAAAGGGAAGAAGAGTACTACCTGCAGATGCTATAATTTAGGACAGAAAGTCAGATTCCATGTATTTCTCAAAAGGGAAATGTCTTCTTATTGGTTCTTTGCTATTAGTTTACAGAACTGTGAGGGTGAGATTGCTCCATTACAACTACCACAGTTTATAGTTGCTGTTTTTAAACACAAATGTAAAAGAAAGCATAAAAACCCCAGAATTTATAAATACAAAAGGCTTTATTTTTTTTTCTTTTTCTGTCCCTTTAGGATATATTTTCATTCCTTCACTCTTGCTATAGAAACTACAAAAAAAAAAAAAGCGCCAAAGAAATTCAAGTAAACTGCACTTTAAAGCACAAAATCATGCACTTATTGACATGTAAAAAACAGAAACAGATATAGATCGTATACCAAGCTGTATCTTTCCAGGATTACCTTCTTAAACCATTCACAAGTTCCGCAAATGATTTTTCCCAAGCATACATCTTTATTATCTTCATACCACTTATGACTTCGTTCATGGTCCTAATCCTGACATCTGTTAAAGCAGCTGTCTTGCTTCTGTAAATAGCACAAAGTAAAAATTCTCAGATTCTCAAAAGAAGAGAGACTAGTCATATTAATGAAGACTTTGCTTTTAGTTGTAAAAAGGATTCACATAATTGTAACTGCATTAAAAGGTATTCCTAAAACAGTGTCTTAAAGCTGACACACAGCAGACAAGACTTGGTATATCTGTATTCCTGGTATTCCCTATTCTCAGGGAACTGTGAGTTAATCCAATGTTCAGAATTGCATGTCAGTTTGCACAAACACATGGTATTCCTTAGACAACATATTTGTGTACAAACCCCCCCCCTCAAATAAAAAAATATACAATTATTAACTTTAGAACTAAAGAAAAATTAGAAAATTACCTTTAAAAATAGTTTTGAAATATGAAAATAACAACTCTCATAAGGCTCTTTTGATGCTGTTAAAGAAACTGGCCTCCTGTGTCTTTTTAAGGTTAACTCTAGTTGAAGCAAAGATTACTTAGTTACAGTGTGTGAGCTATAATTTAGGAAAGCTAATCTAGATTTTTTTTTTAAATAAAGAAATATTATCCAAGCAGTAAGTTACTGCTTAGTAATTAACACTAAAGTATATATCTATTTTAGTCCCACATTATGTTTGCACTGATGAACAAACTGGAAAATATATATAATTAAATAATAAAGCCACAGTTTTAATTAGGAAAAAAGCACTGAAAGTTAGAAGCCATGTAATGAATGCATAAACCATGCTAATAAAGCCTATTACAATTCTGAATTCATTCATGTAGACAAACATACTTTGCACATAGTGAGCTATGGTAGGCCTTATTTTGATAAAACATACCTTTCCCTGCTAAATTACTTATTTTTGTATACACCAATGAAAGTTAAGATTCAAAGATCATATTAAAACAAGCTTTTTAGAAGGGATGGCTGGGTTTTGTCATCTTAACCTTCCCCATGTAAGATTTCTCTGCTGCTCTGGAAGAAATAGCCATGTTTAAAGCACTCAAGTAGAATGAATTTCAGGCACCTGGTCGTCATTTAAAAAAACTTCTCAGCACCAGCATTCCATAAACGTTGGGATGGCTGAAGCAAGGTATTAAGAAATATTTATACAAGAAAACTTAGGAAAGAAATGTAGGACCATTTATAATAATATTATTATAATAAATATAATCAAGGCTTCTTACTAAGAGGAAGATAGCTTAGCCTAAACCAACCAAACACGGAATGAGATTATCTTCGATAAGTACTCTTTTCCTTCTTCAAAAAGGAACAGTAAAAGAAAAAAAATTCCTCAAAGAATGTGAGAGCTCATCCTTTCTTCCCCATACACGCACACCACCACTGCAAAAGGCAAAATTTAGCATTTTAGCTAAACTTAGCAGCAAACAAGAATTCTCACCTGCAACCTTTTGAAACAGTCAACTTTCAGACCTAACTTCCAGATTTGGTCTCCAGATAACAGAATGTTGAAGATTATTCAAAATAATAAAGTTAACAGAGGTTTCTTTTTTAAATGGTGTGAATCAAAATGGCTGTAGTTGTCATAAACCAATTTTTCAGTTTTCCCGCTGAAATGTTATCATAGTAACCATCCCCTTTCAAATTGCTTTAAAACAGAATCACAGAATCACTAGGTTGGAAAGGACCTTCAAGATCATCAAGTCCAACCATTAATCCAGCGCCACCATGTCCCCTAAACCATGTCCTGAAGTGCCACATCCACACACAACGTTCAAGAGGTTGTGGGAGAGGGTGGGTATTTTTCTTTGGCTTTTTTAAGTTACACTCCTCTACACTGCAAAAAGCATCTTTTGTACCTACATACCAAAAGCCACAGTCTCAGAGATACTATATAATGGTTTGAAGTACACAGACTTCCAGGGCGCTGATGGCAATTTACAGCAGAGGAAGATGTTCCCCCAGTTTTAAAAATATTAAGTTCAGAGTACATGCAGATCAGGACAATTGGGAGACGTGCTCACACAGCATGCTTAAGAGCACAACAGGAAAGGACCTGAAAATTCTTCAAGTGTCTGAGAAGTCCCCTTTATGATACTAACAACAATTCTAAATTAAGCAAGCCACAGAATTCCTTTTTGCTTTCGTGAGACCTATTTGGTAGGCTTTAATCATGTCTGACACAACAGTTCCACATAGTTTTTCTCTTAAAAAAAATTAAAAGGGCTTTAAATAAGAATATTACAGTTGCATGGCTAAGCAGTGAAAGAGTTGAGCTCTTGTGAATGAATATATATAAAATGGTCTTCAGTCCAATAACAGAACTATTTCTCAAATAATCTATTAGGTCATGTGTATTTTGTAAAGCTTCTAGTACTTATGCAGGTAAAAGCAATACTGCATGATACAAGTGTTTACCATTCCATAGGATACGGAGTCCATTTCTACAAACTCCTACAGCACTGAAGCTAATGCCTGCATCATAAACTGGTGCGCACAGATGTGTTTACAACACTGGGTCACGAGTACCGTGCTGAATAATAGCACAAATTAGCTGCCACACTGAGCGTGCCTGGATTTTAGCAAAAGCTTTAATCTTCAAATTACTTCTTCATAGGCTGATTTCCTTAAATCCACGCAGATTCCCAGCAACTGCCACGTGAACTCACTCATCAGCTGGAAGCTGATGGAATCCGTTTCAGTTTTTCTATTAACTCCTTCTGTTCAGTGCACATTTCTATTCACAAATACAAAGATCTATGCACATTTAGACAAGCAAAGTTTTTCTAGTTAACAAATTCTTTCCCTTGCACTGCATCCAAACAAGTGGCTGTTAATGAATGGGGGAAAAACCCAAACAACATTACATTGCCACTCATTAACTTTTAAAATACATACCTTCAAGAAGAGATTTTTGTCACCTTGTTGTCTGACCCTGGACAAGTCCCTTAATCTCTTTGTGCCTCAGTTTCCCATCTGTAAAATGGGGATTATAATTCTTACCACCATGGATAAGGCACTAGCTAAGTGCTAAGTATTTTAACTATTGACTCAAAGCTCAAAACCTCAAGAACGTAAAACTCAAAAAACCAACAGTGAAGTAGGCTGATACTTATGCATGCATATTACGCATGCAGTGAAAATGCACATGTAAGAATATATTGGAAGTGCCTAGCAAACATGTTTTATCACAAAAAAACCTAAGAATTTGACAGAAAACACTGAATGGCTCATTATTTGAGAAACAGGACATGAGCATAATAACTGAAGACTATCACAGTAGTTACAAATAGAAGGAAGTCTACGAATTGGTTTCATTTTGTAATTTTCAGCTCTCTCTTCACACCTAGCCATGCAATGGCAATGCCAGTCTCAATACCTCTGGAAAACCTGTCCTAAAATGCAACTTGAAAACAACAGTAACTCACTAAAAAAAGATTTACTTATCCAAAGAGCTAGAAGGAACCCATTCACCCTGAACACAAATGCAACAAAAATGCGTAACACTACTAAGCATATGCATACACAGTAAAAGGAACACAAAAATACTCCCATCTAAATGCAAAAACCATTTATAAACTCATGATGTAAGTAGAGCATGATTAATTACACAAGAAAAAGGAAGTTAGGAAGTGAGAATATTGAAGATAATAATTCAATATTCCCACTTCAGGTAAGTCTGTCTTTTTAGGCAGAAATCACAAAGAACAAATTAAATTTGTCCGATAATGGAAAATTACTGCAAACTCATTTTATATCTCCACAGCCTAGAACCTTACAGTTAGAAACCTCATAGCTGGCATCAAAACCACCATCATAATTTTTTTCTTCCTTTCTCTCTTCGGTTCCTTCCCTTTTTTTCCCCTCTCTGCATCTTTGTTTTGGAGGAGGGAGAGCAAGATTTTTTAACATGAAACCTTCAGAGCTTTCTGCTGCAACTCCTGTATCACCCCAGTAACTCAAACTTGCGGCAGGACTGACAGTATTGCCTTCGTAGTAACCACTCCCTAAGCATCAATGCAGGAAGGCAAAGCTCAAGGGAGTTAACACAATTCTACGCCAAGATCTACAGCAAGGTAGCCACAGAAGTAGCCCAACTCTTTTAATATACTGGACAGCTAATGAGTAGCAGATAGTTTCAGCATGTCTGGAAGACAGACCACTTCAAGTCCCTAGAGAGGAATTCAGAAACCTCACATCAGCAACTATGAAAAACATCAGCAAAGATAAAAGACCACACAAAAAACCTCACCAGACAGAAGCTGATCTCAGAGCAGTACTCCACCTCCATACAGTATGCACATTTTAAAACCCAGGACAGAAAACGCCTACAACCCAACACGTGCGACCTTACCTTAGGGATGAAAAAAGCCTCCCAATGCAAGTCTGGACAGGAAGAAGAATAATCAGAACTGCCATTCCTGCAAGACATGATGGGCCTATCTCCATCCAGAGAAGTACTGTTACTGCTACAGCTTGAATTGGTCCAGCCCACAAGAAGTGCAAGAAAATAGTTACCTAGGTAAATAGTTAAGAAATAAAAATTAGCTTTTGGTCTTAGCTGAGACATTAAACCCTAATAACACGAAGTTGAGGAAGCATCTTCGCCTGCAGCAGGTACAGAGGCATCCAGTGAGAATTCTGCACCAGATTCAGAGACCTAAATGTACACGAAGGTGCCTAATCTCCAGAAAGTAAGCAATTACCACACTGATTTTGTTTTATCTTTACGTACCAACATTTCTCTGAGCTTAGGAAAACAGCAGGGGGGGGGGGAAGTATGTTTTCCTCCCATATTTTAAGAGAGTATTTCTCTTCCTATGATGTTCAAGAAACAATTAGAAGAAATATTCATAAGAAACACTTAAATCACCAGTTGTAAACAAAAACTTAATTCAAACCCCACAATTTCTTCAGCCCCTTGAAAAGATCTGTAATACTTCTTACCTGATCAAATTTGTTCACGTCATTTGACAGAAGATTTACTATTTGACCAGTGGTAGTTTTTGCCATAGCTACATTACTGAGGCGAAGTGCCTAAAAGAAGTCAGAACAGTCTCATATTGTCATAGCTTACAGAGCATATTACACCTACACATAGAAGACTCAATACACAAAAACAATACTGGGGCAAAAGCTGAAGGCGCATCTCAGTTTCTTCCTGAGAATATTCAGGCACAGTTCAAGAACCTTAGATAACATGTGGGTTAGGGTAAATATTCTGAAGAAAGTCCTGAAGAAGAGAGCATTAAAAAAAAGTGAAGGACTACGAGAACAAAAGCACCGTAACTCCTTATGTCTGGAGTGATTAAGAATGGGAAAATACCAAAATAGCAAGTTATTAAAACTAAACAAAAAAGCCTGTAACTTTTCATTTGCATTGCTTTCCCCCACATTATGAGCATCTGTTCAAAACAGAAACAGAAAACTCCACCTGAAGACCAAATTAAAATGAGGACAATGTTTGGCCCATTGAAAGAATTCTGTTTTGAATGAGATTCCTGACAGAAGACAAAAAACACAAGTTAATTCTACACTATCAGTTCCTGCTAACACTGTAAACTCTGCTTTTTGTCTAATCAGAGTTAATATTCCTTTACAAATTAATATTTTTCTTGTTAATAACTCCTGTAAATATTTTAAATTAAGGTTAGCACATGCTATGGAAAGCAACAAGAGTAAGTATCAAATATTTTATAGGTTAATAAGTTAATCAGTAGAAAATAGTACGCGATTATAAAATACCCCCCTCCCCCCAAATCAAATCTGGAAACATGCAGTCTGAACATTACTGCAAAGATCCAAACTGAAACAGCTCAAAGATGCAAATAACAGACCCTGCTTCCTTCTACACCTGGTAGAAAGAAAATACAGTTTTGCAGAATAAGTGAAAAAACCAAAACAAAACAAAACACGTTACACATTTTCCTGTAACAGGAATAGTTCACTCAAAAACACTTCACATTTTTAGGCAGTGCACATCTACTTCTCCTTCTCCAAACAGTTATTATTAGGATTCCTTTTTGATGAATAATTTAACCTGAAAACCTAATTGTTTCAAAAATACCATTCCAGTATTTTACATCGGGTGCAAGAACATCAGACATCAAAGTACTATTCAAAGCACCATTTCAAACAAAGTGCCTTACATTTCTTGCACCTCACTGTTGGGTTACAAAGGTATTAATCACAGAGAGAATCCCAACCCGAACTTCACTGAAACCAGCAGTGAAAAAACCATTTAAAACTCCATTTAGAAATTCCTCTGATACTCTAAATAAATAAATAAATCTGGAATAGTGGATATATGAGAGATGAGATTTAATTCTTTGAGAAAATCATTGCTTCACTCCCTGCCTTAAGCCCATACATTTGAAATCCCCAGCGAAGCTACCCGCGGGTAATGCAGCCACAGCACATCCACGTTTTCATCATGTTTACTCCACACCACAGATCAAAAGCTGATCTAAGAATTGATAAGCGCCTAGAAAAGCTGTTAGATATCCACAGACCATAGCAATAGGAGTTCAAGTGATGCATGTCTGAAGAAGTTGCCCACCAGGCTGTGTTTACAGCACCTACTGCTACTTACTCCTTTACGACCCAGACGTATCTGCCATTTGAGGTCCACCTCAGCCACCCAGGAGAACACTGCACTGGTGTCTTGCTGGCGACCCACAGCCTGAGTCTGTCTCGGACCCGCCACCTGAGCCCCCTTTCTGACCTCTGCCCAGCTATTTCAGGCACAGGCTGCAAAACCAGTTTCAAAATGTACTAGCTCAGCTCACTTTGGCCAAGATAGTCTCAAGAGGAACCATGCAACCATCTGAGCCCAAAAGGAGGGCGCTGGTCTGCGATGTATTTGTCTTCTCAGGGAAGAGACAGCCATTCCCATCACCAGTGGCAATGCAAGTTTTGTCTTTTCTTCCCTTCCTGTTTCAAAACTACTTCTGAAGTAGCAGTGGGGGGGTTTTGGGGGGATTTTTGGGGGGTTTTTTTGGTTTTTTGTTTTTTTTATTTTACGCTATTTTTAAAGTTAAATAAGCTTTACATTTTCCTGGCTGAACAGAACTGTCTAGACTGCAAAGTATACAGAAGGAAATGGAAACATTGAATACAAAGCACCAGTTTTACTTACATAACTGATTTCAACCAAAAAGTCCTGTTTTGGTACTTTCCCTTTCTACAGAAACACCCTGTCTACACAGCACCACACAAGCTGCTATGAAGCAAATTAACTCTATCCCAGCCAAAGTCAGAACACTGTGGCTTTAAATACTGCTTTGACCATAAATTCACTCTGAAATACAACTGAAAACTGGAGCCACACATCTTTTTAAAAAGCAACTGTAGTTTGAATTTACATTTTATTTTATATTTTCCAATTATCTGTCTGTTTTCAGCACAAAGATCTGCTTGATTTTCTGTCTAGAAATTTTCTGTACAGATGTATTTACGCCCAAGCACCCTTTCTCAAGGAAAATAGGTTTTATTTATATGAACTAATGAGAGCAGTTTGTACACTTGATGTCTTAGGTTAAACTTTTTTTTTCCCCTCCAGGTGTAATGGCTCAGTTTCAATTCTTTAACCATTCTTTGCCTTCTGTACTCCCATCTTAGCGTTTTAATCTCCCCCTGCCCCAAGTAGTTAATTCAAAAGCACATTAAAAAGGGAGAACTGCCCATAAAAAGGAATAATATAACTGTTCAGTCAAATAATTCCTGACACCTTTTTGGCTGCTTTCTGTCTCAACCAACTACTCCACAGCTTAAACTGCTTTAGTGTTTATTCTGAACCTCAAAGAACTTCTAAAAGTTAAGTCTTAAAAAAAAAAAAAAAATCAGCCACCCATAAGTAGCCTTTGGTTTTAAAATATGAGATTGTGAGTCATGAGACAGATTCCATTATTCCATTTTCATTTTTGTTACAAGCTTCCTGCAGGTATCACTAATACCTTCTTAGTGATCACTAAACATCTTGGAGTTTGAATACAGGGTTTTTGCAAATGAGAGTTTAACTTTCCAGGAAATGAAAACGGGTCTAAAACATGAGAATTATGAGGATTTGAAGCTCTCCATTAAGGATGCTCTCATCCAACCCATTCATCCTTGCAAATCCAAGTTTTTATTTACTACAGCAGTTAATGAACACCGCAAAAGTTCTAGTAAATTAGTATCCAGATTCTTTTAAAAGCCTCTGTGAGGATAAAGAGAAAGTATGACCTATCTATAAGCCTCAAATAATGAAGACAAATTATTAGAAAAGTTTATCAATGTTCTGCTGTGACCTCAACCTTCACCCTCAGGAGTAAACATTTATGAGATGAAGGGAGATTAATTTTCCATTTAATCACATCCCTAGAAATACAGGTGCACATTATGAACATTTCTTTTCCAAGCTTCTAAGCTAATAACAACACAGCAACAAACAACATCACTGTATACATATTTCATGAATTTCAAACTGTGTTATGATAATCAGTTTAGTAAATTAATACCTTAGAGAGATGTTTATGTACAAGAAAGCAGTGTGCCATGTTAGAGCCAAGTTCCCAGAGGATAATTTCCAAGGTATCAGAAGAGGGAGGAGAATAAATATGTGCATGAAAAGCAATCACCACTTACAATGGGGACATTTTTACTCTCCTAATTTTACTGCTTTGCCTAAAACCTTCACATGACCTATACTGGTAGTACAAGTGATTGCCTTAAGTGGACGGTACCCATGTTTAACGGTTGAAATAACATGGATTTCTACGGAAACTTTACAGTCCTGATCCTTCAATTAAACTTCTTTTTAATTTAACTTCTTTCCTGAGCTAAGAACTGGCAGGTCACTATTCTAGCAGCACTAAAGCTAGAAAGATAGGGCACTTTCCCTTCCAGCATCCCCAGCAGGGACTTCCCGCTTGGAAGTGGAGATGGGCTCAATGGTTTGGCTACTGTCAACAGCTTCAGAAGAGGGAAGCAGACATTCACAATTGGGTTGCTTGCTCCCCAGAGCACACCAAGGCCAGCATTTCATCCTGGGTGTCACTCAACTCCTTCCTGTAGGTAGTATCTGTAACTTCTTCCACTTTCCATCTGACATCAGCCCCGGCTCCTTCTGTAGTCAAGGACAGCTATTGCTTCATCAGGACACACAGACAGCAAAGAAACCACAGCTTACTCAACATACATCCCTCCTTACACTTTATTGGCTTTAATGAAAGACCCCAGTGCTGCTGCAGTAAAACCAGTAATTGATACTAAATAGGCTCTATCCTACCTTTAGGATTCAGCTTGATTCTGAACTGTGCCTCCTCTGCCCACTCTCTCTCTTCCCCAGCAAGTAGAGGGGATACTGAAGGGACCTGCCTGTGAAGAGGCCGAGCATCCCCACCAGCCTGGAGCAGGGATCAGCAGTGCTGCTGCCTCTCCCTGAACTAACCTGACGGATGCCCTGACAAAGGGAGGCAGCCTCTCTGACCCGCAGAGGAGGCAACTCACTAGTTCTACAGCACTGCTGGAATAAAATACAAATAAATCCCACCAGTAACCACAACAGGGGTGGGGGGGGAAATAGGACAGCGAAGCAACTCCCAGGCAACTGAGAGTGCTGAAGCAGATGGTGGCAGCCAAGCATAACATCCTCCCCCGGGATGAAACTGCAGGGCTGAGTAACCGCCGGCATTCCCTGGGAGCTCTGCCCCTCTCCTGCCGCATGCTGACGGCCTCTTGCCGCTCCCCAGCACACAACCCTTCCACCAGCAAAGGGGGAGCTCCTCTCCAACAGCACGAGCAGGTGAAAGTCAGCAAGCAGCTCCTCCTAGGCTTTAGGGCCATTTAATTCACCACCTTCACCAGGAGGACTGAAGCTGTCATTCAGATACGGTATGACCAAAGAGGGAGCAAAAGCACGTATATACATTTAAGGTCTAATACATATTAGCATGCATTACATTTCTACAAATGAGTAACTTCAATGGAATTGCAAGCATGAACATAACAAATAACTGTATTTTTAAAATCCCCTAATGAAATAGCTGTCAAATGCCAAATATACCTGTAAAAAGGTTTGCTTACCTTCCGATAAATCATATGACACATAGCTACCCTCAGCTTCATGCCAGCCCGCTGTACATGATAGAAGTATAAGTGGTGCATTATAGCTAGAATAAGCGTGCACACAGACAGAGCAGCTGCGTAGCAATATGCAAAATTCAAATCTACCTCATCTGAGGAATCATAGTTTTCAAAATAATTAATAATTTTTCCCAAAAATATTGGTTGAATTATTTTGAGGGTTTCCTGAAAGAAAAATAAGGGAAAAAAGTATTAACAATTTCATATCATACCATGCTACCCAAGTTTGTAACCTGGCAAACAAGAGGCAAGTACGGCTGCAAGTCACATGCCTTATTATTTTGTCTTTATTGTGCTCTAAAATGTCAAGCCAATTTTTATCAACACGTAATCCAGAAGAAGTATGTTCCACATTAAAATTTAGCTGAATCTTTAAAAAGAAATCTCTCAATTACCAATAAAAACTTTGATGTTATAAAAATTGCATGAACTGTACTACACTTCCATTTTTAAAGATGACAGTGTGTCCTTTACAGTCATTCACATACAGCAAAAAAAAACTTTTTCTATTGGGCACCCCACTCAGGTACGTAAAATACAGCTAAGTCTTACAAAGCAAGTCAATGGCTTGTAACGTCTCAAAAATAATGCACTGAAATCAGCTTTCTGTTCCACATCCATAATCCCGCAGTTACGACTCAATTTTTCAGTCTCTACGGAGCTATAGCTCCATTTTACTTTTCTGAGAGAGTACATGAACATTACAGGTTCTCCAAACAGCCCAGCATGGAGTCGCGAGTATGCATCATGCAATCTAAGAGGCCAAGTTTCACATTGCTGTTAGCCAAAAAGTGTGTTGTATGACATTTTATACCACTTACCTCAATCATTGTGAAAATTCCAAAAACTAAATAGGATTTCCAGTAACAAAGAATAATGGCCTTTGTTAAATGTGGCATTTTTCCTCTCTTTTTTGCTTTTTGCACCTCTTTATCCCAGTACCTGACAAAAAAAATGCAAACATGCTGGAGGACAGAAGTAAAATCACAAGACAATTACCAGGAATAAAATACTTTCAGACTTACAGCCAGATCGCCATTTTACACAACAACAAAAAAAAAAAGAAAAAAAAAAGAGGTTTACAGATTGTCATGTTTTGACATTCACATACATGCATAGTACTTAGTATTATAGGCCTATTTGCTCTATAATCACAAACAATTCACCACTGCTGACTCCTATCACCTTTTGACATATTTGCTGATGTGGAACCCTTTCTTTCTTCCTTCTGCTCTCAGTACAGACAGTCACTCACCTTAGTTAAGAGCCTATTATCACATGATCTCCTGAATATGGACTAAACTGAGGCAGCACGGAGTGTCTTTATCTTCCTATAAGCTCTGCACTTCCCCAGAAAGATTGTGATGCACAAACCTTCCTCATGTCTGGCCCTTTCTTTTTCCACCACATGCTTCAGTGAGGACGACAGCACAAGAGCAGAGGGAACAGTCTGTGGCAGTTTTGTCACTTAACGCTCCTCACATCTCTCTGAATGCAAGGACTAGAGCAGCGGAGTGGCAAAGATCTCTGTGTTACCACCTGCCTGCCCACAAGTAGGACATAATCTGTTCACATTAAAGATCAAAAGACAGTAACAACAAGCATGATTTTGTTCGGTTAAATATGAACAAGAAAGTATTAGAACTTAGCAGACTTCGTAAAGCATGCTGTTGTCAGACAGGATACTCTCCTTGCTTCTGGAGGCTAAGTATTTTGTGCCAGGCCCTCTGACCTTGCTAGTTTGAGGGCTGAAATGAGTCTAAGGCATGAAAGCCAGATTATTTTGCAACAAGGAACACAAGTTTGAAGCATACAGTATGGTTAAGAAAGCATTTTTTAAAATGTATTTGTCGTGGTTTAACCCCACAGTGGGATGGGGAAGAGAATCAAAACCAAAAAAGATAAAACTCGTGGGTTGAGATAAA